TTAGAGAAACTGACCGGTTCCCTCCTTCTCCTGACCTTAAACTTCTCTCCCAGCAGCTTGTGGACGATCTCTTCTTCCTCGTTGGCCGTTTTGTGGCAGAACTGAGAAAAAAGTTTGATCCACCACTCTTTGTCTTTCGCCTGGGAAGAAAAGGAGTTCGCTTAACGACCGCAGCACTCACTTTACAACCGGGGCGTTCGTTTAACAACTGCTGTGGGGGGGGGGGGGAAGAAAGGTCGTAAAAAATCGGGGCGACTCAATTTACAACCGCCACACGTTACGACCCTGACAGGCAGCCTGGTCTGCGGTCAGAATCTGAGGATGACCTGTAATTAAAAACACAGATAGTCCTCGACTTACAACGGTTCATTTAGTGACCGTTCAAAGTCACAACAGCACTGGATAAAGGGACTTACGACCGGTTGTGTACATTGAACAACCGTTGCAGCCTCCCCGGGGTCACGTGATCAAAAATCAGCCACTCGGCAACTGGCTCCTGTTTACAACGGTCGCAGCCTCCCGGGGGAGTCAGATGATCCCCTTTTGTGACCATCTGACCAGCAAAGTCAATGGGGGAGCCTGATTCGCTTAACGACCGTGTCACCAATTTACCAACTGCAATGCTTCCCTTAACGACTATGGACAGGAAGGTCGTAAAACGGGGCAAAACCCGACTTAAGAACTGTCTCGCTTAACGACAGGAATTGTGGTCGTACGCCGAGGATGGCTCGTATTCCCAGGACTCCTAGCGTGGACCCATCGTCCTCGCTGGTCGGCACAGCCCGCGCACGTACCTGCTTGACGGTCGCCACCATCCTGGCCATCAACATGATGCTCGAAGTTTCCGGGGGGTAGTGGATGTTCCTGGACAGGAGAGAGTGGGGGGGGGGGGGTTAGGAAAAGGAAATTCCAGAACGTTCCACAGACAAAACGGACATTTTAAGCCAAGCCCTTGGAGAGACAAAGCGATGACCCCACCCATCGGCTTTGCCAGATGCGATCCAGACCGTGCGACCGGCAAGCCCCTTGCAAGCCCCCCGGATAATACGGTATATATTGTATTTTATGATGATGATCATGATTTATCACTTGTTGCTGGTAGATACACTGAGATATTTGGACTGGAGTGTCCAATCATACTTGGCCAATAAATAATTCTATTCTATTATTATTCTATTATTATTCTATTCTATTATTATTCTATTCTATTCTATTTATTCTATTCTATTTATTCTATGCTATGCTATGCTATGCTATGCTATTCCCATTATTCTATTCTGTTCTATTCTACTCTAGTCTAGTCTACTCTATTCCCATTATTCTATTCTATTCTATTCTATTCTGTTCTGTTCTGTTCTGTTCTATTCTGTTCTGTTCTATATTGCATTCCATTCCATATTCTGTTCTATTCTATTCTATTCTATTCTGTTTTGTTCTGTTCTATATTCCATTCCATTCCATATTCTGTTCTATTCTATTCTATTCTATTCTAATTCTATTCTATTCCCATTATTCTATTCTATTCTATTCTATTCTATTCTATTCTATTCTATTCTATTCTAATTCTATTCTATTCTTGTTCTGTTCTACTCTACTGTACTCTATTCTATTCTATTCCACTCTACTCCTATTCTATTCTATTCTGTTCTGTTCTGTTCTATATTCCATTCCATTCCATATTCTGTTCTATTCTATTCTATTCTATTCTATTCTATTCCCATTATTCTATTCTATTCTATTCTATTCTATTCTATTCTATTCTATTCTATTCTATTCTATTCTTTTCAATATAAAATTTTTATTGTTTTCATCATAAAAAAAAAACAACACCAGTATTACACAATATTATTACACAATATTATATCCCACCCCCCCGGACTTCCCAAACCGAATCCCAGGCTAATATTCAGATATAAGTGAACGAATATTAATTTGTCTAACTCCACAAACTCTATTATAAACAATCCATCTCCTCCATATTAATAAAAATTATTCATTTAAGTAATTCAGATCACCAAAATCTTTACCAATTCAGCAAGATACTTTAACACCGCCAAAAAAAAAAAAGAAAAAAAGAAAAAACCATTCATTAAATTTAGTTTTTCCCTGTCACCAATAACTCTTCCTCTCTATTACAACATAATTATCATATTTGTAGTAATAATATAAGTGCATTTCTATTTTTAAAAAATATATTCTATCATTTCATCAATCTACACCTATAAAAAATCATTTTAAGTCCTTAATAAAATTTACAACTTCAATTACATATCAG